GACGCCGCCGCAGCAGCCGCCGGGCAGGCGGATGCCTTCGAGGCCACGGCGGACCAGCTCGACAGCGTCCGCCTCGGCCCTGCGGCCGCGCAGCTGCGCCGGCAGGCCGCCGACCCGCGGAAGCGCGCGGCCGCCCCAGCGCCTGGGCGGCGCCCGGACCTCTTGGCGGCCTTCGTGAAGAGGGCGGCGCGCGAGCCTCGAAGGCGGCAGTGGCAGTCGAGGCCGCGGAGGTCTCACTGGCCGAGGCCCGCAGCCAAGAGGAGGCCCTCCGGCGGGAGCTGCAGGGGGGTGTCCAAACTCGCCCAGCTGCGCGCCGAGCTGCAGGCGGAGCGCACGGTCGATGGGCCGGCGCCGGCCCCAACAGCGGGGCGGGCGCACCCGGCGCGGGCGCTGCTGCAGGCGCTCATGCAACACCTCGCACCTGGTGCGCCCCATCTCGGGCCTACCCCCCGAGAGCATCGCGGCCCCCATGGCCGCCCTTCACGCAGCTCTCGGGGACGCCGAATCCCAGGTCCCTGCCGCCAGGCTCGACGAGGAGATCGGCGAGCCGCGCGCCTGGAAGCGGCCAGAGGCGGAGAAGGAGGAGGAGGACGTCGACGAGGGTTTCAGCGACGACTCCGACATGCGGCAGCGCGGCGTCGGCGGCGCCAGGGAGGAGGATGACGTCGAGGAGATGAGCGAGGAGGAGATGGGGGGGAAGCTGGGCTGGGCCGAGGACGACGCCCAGGCCCTCGCCGTGGCCGGGCGCCTGCAGCGCTCCCGGAGGCCCGGCGCCTTGGGGGGGTCCACAAGGACAAAGGCCGGCGGAAGTGAAGGCTCATTCCCTGCCTCGGGATCCCGGCGCCGGCGGCACTGCGCAGATATGCCGCGAGCGGAGGCGCTGGGAGGCGCAGATTGCCGGCGGCGGAGGCGCCGGATGCCATCTGCAAGCTCCGCTCCGACGCTGGCGCCAATGCCGGCTCCGAGGCTGGCCCCGAGGCGGTGCCGGGAACGCCGGGGGATAAGGAGTCCCGTCTGGGGCCTCCCGCCGCAAGATCCTCGCACCGGCAGCGCTGGGAGGCGCGGATTGGGCACATGCAGGGCGCGCCCCGCCAGGGTGCTTCGTCGCCCAGCAGCGCGGATGGGCCGGCATCCGCGTGGGAGAGGCGAAACACCAGGACCTCCCGGCGCTGCATCGCAGCTCGCCTGTCCGACATGGCCTGCTGAGCGCTGCGCGGCGTGACAGTGCTGCCGAGACCTGCGCCGCATGCCAGGGTGGGCCTGGGCGGGGAGGGTGGCTGTGCAGGTGCGAGCCGCGCGGGGCCGCCGTGCGCCGCGGCTGCGCGTTGGATGCCGCCGCCCCCGCAGCCGCCGGCGCGGGGCTGGGGTCCGCCGCCGGAGCCGACGACATACAGGCGCTCGCGGCGGCCACTCCGGCGACCGCGCTGGCCTCAGATGCCGCGGCGGCCGCGGCGGCGGCGCCGGCGGCTGCTGCGGGAGGGCTGGCGGCCGCGGCAGCGGTGGCTCTCGCCCCTGGTCCATTTCCCCCTCCTCCTCCTCCTCCTCCTCCTCCTCCTCCTCCTCCTCCTCCTCCCCTTCCTCCTCCTCCTCCTCCTCCTCCTCCTTTTCCTCCTCCTCCCCTTCCTCCTCCCCTTCCTCCTCCTCTTCCTCCTCCTCCTCCTTCTCCTCCTCCTCCTCCGCCTCCTCCTCCTCCTCCTCCCCTTCCTCCTCCTCCCCCCTCCGGGAGGGAGGGAGGGAGGGGGGAGGATGCGCGCCGCTCCCTCGGCTCGAGCGGCCGCCGGGACGGGCGACGCGCGGGCCGCCCTCCAGAGGGGGGGATGGCGGCGGAGGCCGAGCTGCCGTCCCGTTCCCGCTCCTCGAAGAATCGACTACACGTAGGAGTGACCTTTCGCCGGAGTGACCGTTGGTGCGGGCCCAATGGGGATGCGCCCAACGCGATGCGGAAGTACAGCCAAGTCGCTGAAAGAAGGAACAGTTTGGGTAAGAAAAGGGCTCGATATTCCTTAGGTCCTTCTATGGTTTTTCCTCTAGCCTTCCTCGTGCACGCAGGCGCTTGTGGGACCAACAAGGGGCTTCGTTCCTTGTTTATCGTTCCCTCTTTCAGCAGCCCGACTGTAGCGTCTTGTGCTCCTGTGTTTAGTTCCCGCGCGGCCCCCACAAAGCCGCGCACCAAAGGGCACTCTTACCCAGGGTTACTCTTGCGTGTAGTCGAAAGAAGAAAAAACGCCACGAACATAAACTTTTAGCGCTCTGCGTGGATTTCTTGGATCTGCGCCAGGGCCCCACGGCGGCGCCTCAGGCGCCGCCCCCCTGGCGCGCGGAGCGCGCCAGGGGGGGTGGGGTCCAGCGCAGGTCCAAGAAATCCGCGCGGAGCGCCAACAGCTTATGTTCGGGGCGTTTTGGCTTCTGCTTCTAGTTTTCTCCGTCTCGTCCGTGCCTCCTCGATGATTCGCTCCCCCACCGTCTCAACAGCCCTCGTTCACCATCCGTGTCTTTTCTGCTTCGTCCCCTCTTTCTGCCCTCCTCCCCTCTCGCTTATCCCTCCAGGGCCTCCTCCTGTCGTCCTTCTTACACTGCAGCAGGCTCCAGGGCCTCCTCCAGCTGCCAGTCAAAGGCGAGCAGGCTTCGAAACGTTTGAGCTTGGGCAGATGGCCTCACCCACAATGAATGCCAAAGCGAGTGCGGGAGGCGCTGCGCTGGCGTGATGGGCGCAGTGTTGCTGCTGCTGCCAGCAGTGTGGCGAGCGTAACGTAGTCAGATTTGTGGTGACGAGGTACCTCTCAAGGAGAGGAGGAGGAGGAGGAGGAGGAGGAGGAGGAGGAGGAGGAGGAGGAGGAGCCTCTCAGGGTTATCCAAGGGTTCTCCCCCATCCTGTCCCCCCCACCACTATTCCTCTTCTTCCTCCCCGTGGGCGTCGTCGCCTCCCCCCCCTCCTCATGATCACTGCCCCTCCCCACCGCCTACCTCCTCACAGGGCCGCGCCCGAGCCCTGCCCAGGCCGCGCGCGCACGGCCCGCATTACGTGCCCGCCGGCGTCCTGTCCCGATGCGCCGCGTGCCGAAGCGCAGCACGTGCCGCGTGCACACCGCCCGCGCAAGGAGTCGATCTCTCTCTCTTCCCCGGCGGCAGGGCGGCGAGGCCGCCTCCGCCAGCGGCGGAAGCCGGCAGCAGGCCGGCGGAGAAGCCTTCCAAGGAGGAAGAAGAGGGAGAAGGAGGAGGAAGAAGAGGGAGAAGGAGGAGAGGGAGGAGGAGGAGGAGGAGGAGGAGAAGGGAGGAGGAGCGAGGAGGAGCGAGGAGGAGGGAGGAGGAGGAGGAGGAGGAGGAGGAGGAGGAGGAGGAGGAGGAGGAGGAGGAGCGAGGAGGAGGGAGGAGGGAGGAGGAGGAGGAGGAGGAGGAGGAGGAGGAGGAGGAGGAGGAGGAGGAGCGAGGAGGAGCGAGGAGGAGGGAGGAGGAGGAGAGAAGGAGGAGGAGGAGGAGGAGGAGGAGGAGGAGGAGGGGGAGGAGGAGGAGGAGGAGCGAGGAGGAGAAGGGAGGAGGAGGGAGGAGGAGGAGGAGGCGAAGGGAGGAGGAGGAGGAGGAGGAAGAAGAGGAAGAAGAGGAAGAAGAGGAATCTTAATAATAATACGAATAATAATACTAATCATAATCATAATAATAATAATAGTAATAATAATAATAATAATAATAATACTAATAATAGTAATAATAATACTACTAATAATAATAATACTAATAACAATACTAATATTACTAATGCTAATAATAATAACAATAATAATAATGATAATAATAATGATAATAATAATACCAAGAATACTAATAATAATACTACGAATACTAATAATACTAATACTAATAATACTAATACTAATAATAATCATACTAATAATACTAACAATAATAATAAGAAGAAGAAGGAGAAGGAGGAGGAAGAAGAGGAAGCAGAGGAATAATAAGAATAATAATAAGGAGGAGGAGGAGGAGGAGGAGGAGGAGGGAGGAGGAGGAGGAGGAGGCACCTTTTTTTGTGGTTCGGAGTTCCTGAGCCCGCCACGTTCTGAGCTCTGTGCCAGCACGCCACGGGCCGCGTGCTGCTTTCGTCGCTCCTCCCCCCCACCCACGGCTGCCTCGAGGCCTCTCCCTCCGTTCGTCGCTCCTCCCCGCCCCACCCACGGCTGTCTCGAGGCCTCTTTCGCTCCTCCCCCCCGCCCACGGCTGTCTCGAGGCCTCTCCCTCCGTTCTTCGCTCCTCCCCCCCACCCACTGCTGTCTCGAGGCCTCTCCCTCCGTTTTTCGCTCCTCCCCCCCACCCACGGCTGCCTCGAGGCCTCTCCCTCCGTTCTTTGCTCCTCCCCCGCACCCACGGCTGCCTCGAGGCCTCTCCCTCCGTTCGTCGCTCCTCCCCCCCACCCACTGCTGTCTCGAGGCCTCTCCCTCCTTTCTTCGCTCCTCCTCCCCCCACCCACAGCTGTCCCGAGGCCTCTCCCTCCGTTTTTCGCTCCTCCCCCCACCCACGGCTGTCTCGAGGCCTCTCCCTCCTTTCTTCGCTCGTCACCCACCCTCGGATGTGTTTCGCGTATAGCTTGTGCGCAGGGGCCGCAGCCTTTGGCTTAGCGACCCTTCGCAGCACAAAAACCAGCACGGCCTCGAAGTCTCTCACGTCCTCGTCATCGCCATCATCGCCGTCGTCATCATGATCTTTCTCTGTCCTGCTCCTCCCCCTCCCTTTCGTTCCCCTTTCGTCTCCTGTCCTCCTCCTTCCCCGTTGTCCTCCTCTTCCTTCTCGGCGTCGTCGTCTTCCTCCTCCTCATCCTGATCGTCTCTTCCGTAGCCATTTTGGCTCAAGGCCAAATGGCGTTCATTTCACTGCGACAGCGGGGTAGGCTCCCATCAGATCAATCAGTTGATTTGCCGCCACAATCAGGGGCGAGCGGCCGCCCAAGCTTTCTCGCCATAGTACTTGCTGCTGTGTGCGCCTCCATACTCCATCCGTCAGCCGAGGTCCTCCTGACGAAGAGCCTGCCCAGCGTCATCTGGCACGGCTTCCATATCACGCCTGAGGTCGCTGGCGAGAAGCGACCCCCAATAGACAACGACTTCTTCGGCAACGCGGTGCAGATCGACTCGCTCTCTTCACCATCACGACAGAGTATTTCACAATGGCATCCAGTGACAGCAGCTGCAGCAGTTCTTCGTCAGCCACCAAAGCTCGGCGTCGACGGCCTCGCAAAGAATGTGAGCGCGAGCGCGGAGACAAAGACAGTGGAGACGGCAGCCATTCCCGCAGTGATAGAGGTGAACGAAGTGATAAGCATAGACCCGAACGTCCTCCTTCTCAAGATCGTGACAGACGACGAGCGGAACGTGAAGCCCCTCGAGAGCGTGAGAGTGGCGCTGCACAGCGAGCTCACCCCCCTCGTGCGGGCCGAGCAGGCACAGCCACAGCTGCCACACCCTCCCGCAGGGCAGCGCGCAGCGGAGGACCTTCGGCAGCATCAGCATCCATGGCAATCGATCCCAGAGGCGACCCCAGAGGCGAAGATGCATTACAGCGAGAAGACCCTTGGACAGGATCACAGATACCTTCTGGGCCAGCTCAAGTGGCTTCCTTCATACGTGCTGCAGAAGACGCGGCTGCACTACCTGGCACGCCTGGCGGAACAGCAGCAGGAGTGGCACCATCGACTCCAGTCGCAGGCGACGCTCTCGGTGGCATGCCTACCCCAGTCGGAGGTGGATTCGTGCCCGACGACAATTCGTTGGAGCAGCGCCCCAGCCAGCTCTTCACCTCTCAGATCGAGTCGGCCACCACCAGGCTCCAGAACGAGTCCGAGGCCATCATTCGTAACGCTCAGCAAGCTCTTCAAGGGGAACTTCAGCTCGTTCTCGGACATGTGCGGCAGCATGGAGGCATGCTGGACGCCATGGACACCTCAGTCCGCGAGCTCAACCAGCGCACGCACATGGTGGAGCAGGAGCAGCAGCAGATGCGGCACGAAGTGGAACGTATTCAATCGCAGGTGGCAATGGCAGAAGCTACTTTACCTACCTTCGACATGGCGGCGTTGGCAGTCTGGGATCGACCACCAGACCCCCATCTCTACACAATCGGCGCACCATCGGCTATACAACCTTCAGAAGTCAAGCGAGCTCTCGAACCTTGGATCAATGCAGCAGGCGTCTCCACCAACGATGTGGAGCTCATCGGCGACGTACCCGCACGGCGTTTCTTCCTCAGAGTTCTTGGTGGACCAGCAGCTACATCACGCAGTCTTTCACTCGCACGGAACCTCAGAGCAGGCGGTCAGTGGCGTAACTTCTCGGCTCCAAACACTACTTGTGCGCTCACTCCCTTATGCATCAACGCGGACAAGTCTCCTAAAACCTTCGGCGAGAACTACAAACAAAGCGATTGGTCAAGCTCTTGGCAGACAAGCACGACAACCATTACTTCAGAAAGGTCGGTGACGAAGGCATCGTCTCTTGCAGCTCAATTCCCCTTGTGGTTCTCGAGGTTGGAGACGACGCCAACGCCCCCACAAAGCTCAGGTGGAACATCGCAGTCGTCCACCAGATGGGTATCGACAAGACCACAATCACAGATCAGTTCCAGCAGCTCTTCCTGGCCACAGATACTTCGCGGTGGTCTATTTAACACTCGCTGGAGCCCGTGGCTCCAACAGGCTAGAGACAGTGGTGGGCAGGTAGTCTCGTGGAATGCTCGTGGCCTGTGTTGCTACAAGAAGCGGCGCCGCAAGAACAAGCTGCGCAAGCTGGAGCGATTCATGAAGGCATCCGCTCTCATCATGATCCAGGAGACGCATGGTGTTCGGCAGCAGCTTGAAGTCATGGTCGCTTCCTCCCCATACAAGTACAAGGTCTTCCATTCTCAGGCGGAAGAGTCATCACAGAGTTCATCAGAATCCCCCGATGCTGAACGCGCTGGCAATGCACGGCGTGGTGGTGTGGCATTCCTAGTGCCGTGGCCTGCTGGTGCTGCAGATGCCAGACCGTCTCTCGACTTTGAGGTGCTCGCCCCTGGCAGGGCGGCGCAGCTGTCGATCAAGCACCCCGAGCTGCGCTACCAGATGCGCGTCATGAATGTTCACAACTACAACATCTCCCCGACCGACAAGACTGTTATCAACAATAAATGGATGGAGAATCTTCAATGGGCAAGCAGCAACCACCTAGAGCGCACGTTCTTCGCGATAGGTGACTTCAACATCCGAGAGGGCGTCCCTTTGTCATATGATCACCCGCTACCTGATCAGGCTCGGCTACGGACGCTACGTACATACCAACCCGCAGAAGCTTTCTGGCGAACCCTCTTCGACACTATGCAGGAGATCCGCTCGGAGGTCCCAACGTATTTCAGCAGGCAGCACTACACCGCGCCGGCCATCGATAGGCTCTTTGTCAGCACGCCAGAGCACTACCTGATCGCCACGGACATCCATCACTCTGTTGCCATGGACCCAGTGGAAATGGCCCAGTCGCGCTTGAGCGACCACTCCATCATCCACGCCACCTTCAGAGCCAAGCAGAACATTCCAGAGGAGGCGCAGCGCATCCCAGATGCGGTCTTCACGGGCGAGCGGTACAAGACCATACTCGACAGCCTCATCAACGCGAGTGACTTGGAAAGGTTCTCGCCTGTGCTGAAGTGGACGTACATGAAACAGCTCATGATTGAGGCCGCTCGTCAAACCCGAGATGAGCTCCAGCGGCTACCATATCGACATGGCGACAAACGTGCACGAGGTGGCTGCAACATTACACTTCGCAGTATTTCAAGAGCCGTGTGGAAGCAGGACTTACGGCAAGCAGCTCTTCTGGTATCAACCACCGAGGATGGCAAGCGCTTTCATCACATCGATGAGGAGGGGGTCAGGCTCCAGAATGCGGACGTCTTTCGCAACCTCTTCCGCTCGTCGCACTCCGCGGAGCTGGAGGCCATGCAGTATCGTGCTGCCCAAGCCGCACAAGCTGCGCAACGAGCTGGAGACCAACCTGCAGCTGAAGCGCATTTTCGCCAAGTTCGTGCTGGTCGCCGCAGGGCCTTCCGCACGTTTCGTAAAGCAGATGTTTTCTCGTTCACGGGACACGGTTTAGTGGCCCCGCAGTCCGCTCTGATCCTAGGTGCGGCTAGTATGTGGCGCTGCTCCACTCTCACGATAACCGATTGGGCAGCAGAGCTCGACAAGTGGCGCGAAACGGCGGCGCTAACCTGCACCGTCGTCGGCTGGCTCAAAGGAGAGTGGAGCGCCCCCTGCTGGATCCAAAAGCAGGGGATCGCCCAGCGTTTTGCTGATCTAGTGAATCGCCCGCCGCGCCGAGGCATTCCGATCGTCCAGTGGAAAGCTTCGCAGGCGGCAGGTCGCATGGAAACCCGTGCGGCACGAGCGGTGGGCAAGAAGCCCAAACTTCAACGTGCTGTCTCCTCCTTCCTCCGCCTCAATCTCTACCCCAGCAAATTCGAAGTGACGATCTCCAAGCGTCTGAGCGCTTGGGGCCTTGCTGGCAACATCGCGGGCGGGGTGGCGGAGCGGTGGGGGGACTGTCTCGCAACGATCGAGAAATTCAAGCCTGCCTGGCAATGGTCGATCCTTAAGACCCTCGCAGGCGGCTGGACAACTAGCCATAGAGTCCACGTGTGTGGACCCGTCAACTGCCTTTTCGGGTGCGCTCAGCCCGACTCCATTGCTCACTACCTCTCTTGCCCCGTCCTCCGTTCCCTCGTCGGCCTCCCCCTCAACCCACTGACTTTCCTTGGCCTAGCGGCTGATAACGAATGCAACTGTGAGAGCTGCACGTTCTCTCGTGCTGATGCGCTGCGTTTGACCGTGTTGGCATTCCATACGTATCACAAGGCGAAAGCTGCGGTGACCCATGGGGGCCAGCTCACGCCAAGCCAACAGCGAGCCGCTTTCGCAGCAGCACAGCACGCCACTGACATTTAATGCGGCTGACGGTGCGTGCGAACTGGCTCGCCTCAGGTACGGTCGATCCTGATCGTCTCTTCGTCGTTTTCCTCCTCACCCTCCTCCTCCTCCTCCTTCTCCCCCTCTTTTCTACAACCACAATATATGAATCATGTTGTCCTCTATCCCCTCACTCTGTCCGGAAGATGACCAGCACTTTTCGCGCGCATGTTCTTTTGCACACCGGGTGCATGTTGTCGCGCAGGAAATGGAGAGAGAACACGTCGTCACTTGCAGTGTGGACAGGGACATTGTTACAGGCTCCGACCACACAGCAGTCGTTCTCCCTATGAGGCTCGGCGGGGGCCGCCCGTGCCAGCGTAAGAGAAGAGTGCCGCCTTGGGGGCCCAACGTTGACACGAGCAAATACAAATCAGCAATCGAGGGGACCATGGCGGCATGGGAGAGAGGAGAAAGCTGCCCGGCAGCCCTGGCGAACATAATCGAATCTGAAATGACGAGGTGCGCATAATTGGCGACACCCAAGAAGCGGAACCAGCGGCACCCTACACGGATGGATTCTGAAACCAAGACTGATCAGTGACCGCCGCGGGCCCGGGCGGCGAGGGGACTTGACCGAGTCCGCAAAACAGGCGCAGCGTACAGTCCTCAGCAAGCAGATCAAGAAGTTGACCCGGAAATTGCAAGCGGAACGGCGCGCTGACAAAATTAATGCCATTCTGACGGGTTTCTTTGGCATCGAGGAGATAGGCCTTATGTCGCCAGCTTCAGAGCGGCAACACATTTCGAGTGTTTGACGAATGTGGGGTAGCACAGGACACGAAGGAAAGCATCGTCGATGTGTTTGCTCAGTTTTATCTGGAATTGTACGTCAGCCAAGGAGCCCGCAGCGAGCCTGTCCCGTCGTCGTCAGCTACTGTGCAGCCTTTCGCGCGAGAAGAGCTGAAGCGAGCTGTAAAGACGATGAAGAGTGGGAAATGTAGTGACAGGTCGGGCGTAGTGGCGGAAATGCTGAAGAACGGGGGCGATATCTTGCACGATCGTGTATTGCAGCTGTTCAGCGAGGTGCTCTGACCAGACACTGAGGCCCCTGAAGCTTGGAGGCAAACAAGATATGGTCTTCATATTCAAAGAGGGCGAACCCCCGCTGCCGCAGAACTATAGGCCGATCGCAATACTGCCTGGTTTATATCAGCTGTTTGCCGGATGGTCTGCGACCGCGTCCAGCCTGTCTTCATGTCGAAACAGCCGCCCGACCAAGCTGCCTACCGGAAGGGGTACTCGACTGAAGACCCTTTACTCCGCTAACTTTCCTTTTTGGAGAAGTGCAAGGAATGGGATTAATGCCCATGGTTGTGCCTCGTAGACCTCGAAAATGCCGTCAACACGGTGGAGCACAACGCGCTATGGAGAGTCCTCTACGATTTCGGCGTCGATGTGCCCTATATTGCCTTGTTGAAAAAGTTGCGCGCGAATCAGTCAGTTTTTGCTTCCACTGGAGTCGAATCCCGGGGTTTTTCTTTGGCGCGGGGAGTCAAGCATGGCAACCCTGTCAGCGCGGTGTTGTTGCCGTTATGGGCGCGTGTTTCAGGAAGCTCAAGGAAAGGTGGCGTTCTCTCAACAAGCGGCGCACACAGCAGTAATACGGCTTCGTCATCGACGACCCAGAGGAGCCGCTCACGAACTCTCGTTTCGCCGACGACGTGCTGCTTTTCGCGCAGAATAATGCAGATGCCCGCAAAATGCTGGTCGACCTGAAGAAGTAAACTTCGGTATATGGTATCACCGTGCACCTGGGCAAAACGAAGATCCTCATGACCTGCGAGAAGACGCGGGTGGGCTTTGTCAAGATGAGGATGGACGACGTCGGTGTCTTGCCGCCAGATGCCGCCGAGAAATATATGGGAAGACTTGTTTCCTTGAGGAACTTCCAGGATGCCGAGATGGCCAACAGACTGATCGCAGCTTGGCGTGTTTGTGCCACATATCGGAGTGTAATGTGTTCGAGGAGGTACCTATTGTAATCCAGGTTGAAGCTGTTCGACTCTGTTGTCACGCCGTCTGCGCTGTATGCGTGCTCCACCTGGGTGCTGAAACTGTCACACGCACAGAGAATCCAGACGACGCGGAGACAAATGATGCGCAACATCTTCCAAGTGCCAAGGAGATATTCAAAAGCATAGGTTCGGTATGTGCGGCGGTCCACAAGATTTGTCTTCTCGCGCGCTGCTCGGTTAGGGGCCAGGGACTGGCTCCTGACGCAGACGCAGCGCAAACAAGAGGCCTACAACAACTTGCAGACACGGGGTGTCAGCAAGTGGAGCAGCAGACTACTGTCGTGGAAGCCATGGATCCGGACTGAAGCTCACCGCCGACACGGGCGACCTGTCCTGCGTTGGTCAGACGATTTCAAGTGACCTGCCGTCAAGAGTATTGGTGGGCCTATGCCTGGAAATTGCGAGACATTGCGAGAACGAGAAATTGCGAGAAATTGCGCTGTCATCATAATTTACATCGTTGCAATGGTGCCTCTTTCCGGCCCGCCCGGGCGCTCTTAGCGCCCCCGCGGGACTGGTTCCTGCAGCCGTGCGACGGGTTTCTCTCCTCTCTCCTCTTCCATATCCACTTTATGGGCTTCATATAATCCGACTGGCTTTTGTTTTTCAATATGGTACTCCCGCTACAGCGTGGGCCTCATTTTCTGATCGCCTCTTTGCTCCCGTCGTTCAGAATGGGGATCCCGCTCCTTTTTCATCATTGTCGCACCCCTCATTTCCCCTCCTCCGCCTTCCCCTGGTCCTCCTGCTCATCCCTCTCCTTCCACTCCAGTTCCTACTGCTGCTGCTGCTCGTCCTCGTCCCCCCCATCCCCCTTCCTCCCCGTGACCCTCCTGCTCGTCCTCCTGCCCACCCGCCAGTTCATCCTCCTTTGTACGCAGCTCACCTTTCTCCGATTCCGAACAGCACGAGAGGGCTCCTTCTCTGGAGTCCCCAATCGGTTATGACACGCGTCCGCGGCCAGAGACAAAAACAACGCCATGGGAGGGGATGGGAAAGAGGCCGCCTCCCCCCCGCCCTCCTCCCGCTCGCCCTGATCCCACTCGCCCTCCCCCTCATCCTCCTCCCCCTCCCCCTCCCCCTCCTCCCCCTCCCCCTCCTCCCCCTCCTCGTCGTCCTCCTCCTCCTGCTCCTCCTCCTCCTCCTCCTCTTCTTCCCCGTCGCCCTCCTCCCCCTCGCGCGAGCGCGTCCAGCTTCCCCCTTACCCCTCGCCGCGGCCCTCCTCCTGCCCGAGGCCGCGCGGCCTCGCGCCCCGGCGCGCCAGCCGCCGCCGGCCGCGGCCGGCGCGCGCCCGGCATGCCGAAGAAGCCCACCAAGGACCGCGGGGGCGCAGAAGGAGGGGGAATAGGAGGAGGAGGAGGAGGAGGAGGAGGAGGAGGCGGAGGAGGAGGAGGAGGAGGAGGAGGAGGAGGAGGAGGTCGTCGTCGTCGCCGTCGACGTCGCCGACGTCGTCGCCGCCATCGTCGTCGGCGTCGCCGTCGTCGCGGGGTGGGGTTCGGACGGGGTTAGGACGAGAACACATCCGTTCCAGAGCGTTCCAGAATGCTGACAGAGCATTCCGGAAAGCTCTCACAAGGCCGCGGCGCCCGAAACATCCTGCAGAGCCGCCCAGATTTCAGAGATCCTCGACTTATCCTCACCCGATGTTGTCCTCGTCTTGGCTTCGTCTTATGGGAGGCAACAGCTCGCTCTTGAGGAGGAGGAGGAGAAGGAGGAGGAGGAGGAGGAGGAGGAGGACGAGGAGGAGGAGGAGGAAAGGAGGAGAAGGAGGGGATGGAGGAGGAGGAGGAGGAGGAGAGAAGGAGGAGGAAAAGGAGGAGGGGGACGGGGAGGAGGAGGAGGAGGAGGAGGAGGAGGAGGAGGAGGAGGAGGAGAGGACGAGAGGAGGAGGAGGAGGAGGAGGAGGAAGAGGACGAGGGAGGAGGAGGAGGAGGAGGAGGAGGAGGAGGAGGAGGAGGAGGAGGAGGAGGAGGAGGAGAGGAGGAGGAGAGGAGGAGGAGGAGGAGGAGGAGGAGGAGGAGGAGCAGAAGAAGGAGGAGGAGAAGGAGGAGGGGGAGGGGGAGGAGGAGGAGGAGGAGGAGGAGGAGGAGGAGGAGGAGGAGGAGGAGGAGGAGCAGAGGAGAGAGGCAGCAGCAGGAGGAGGAGGAGGAGGAGGAGGAGGAGGAGGAGGGGGAGGAGGAGGAGGAGGGGGGGGGAGGAGGAGGAGGAGGAGGAGGAGGAGGAGGAGGAGGAGGAGGAGGAGGAGGAGGAGGAGGAGGAGGAGGAGGAGGAGGAGGAGGAGGAGGAGGAGGAGGAGGAGGAGGAGGAGGAGGAGGAGGAGGAGGCGGAGGCGGAGGAGGGGAGTAGGAGTAGAAGTAGGAGTAGGAGCAGGAGTAGGGGTAGGAGTAGGAGTAGGAGTAGGAGGAGGAGGAGGAGGAGGAGGAGGAGGAGGAGGAGGGGGAGGAGGGCGAGGGGGAGGAGGGCGAGGGGGGGAGGGCTAGAGATGGCAACCTTTTTGGGTTCAGGGTCTCCAGACCCCGCCAGCTGCCTACTTCCCCCTCGTCCTCGTCCTCTCCTCTCCTCCCTCCTCCCTCCTGTTCCCTCCTGTTCCTCTTCCCTCCTCCCTCCTGTTCCCTCTCGGCGTGAGTGAAAGGTGTGTCCCGAGAGATGGCAGCCTTTCGGGGCTCAGGGTCTCCAAACCCCGCCAGCTGTTGATTTAGGGGAACAAGCAATGCCATACATATAAAATTTCGGAGGTCCACGCGGGCCTCCGATTTTTTTGTTTATGCCATTGTTTGTTCCCCTTCTACAGTATTTCCCCCTCGTTCTCTTCCTCTCCTCTCCTCCCTCCTCCCTCGTGTTCCCCCGTCGGCGCTGTGCACAGGTCGTATCGTTGGCCGTTCGGGCCTCGCGGAGTGATTACCACATGCTTGCAGAGCAACTGCATTGTCGATGTGTTGTTCAGACCACGGTTCATACTATAAGTTTGCCTCTTCTAGACACTTCGCGGAACCCGACCAACCCATCCAGAAACGACGCCCAGGCGAGTTGCCCTAATCAGGCACTTGGGGGAGCACGCAGTGGAATAAAGGCTGGGAAACCGTCATGCCTCGCGAGGGGGAGGATGGAGGAGGAAGCAGAGGAGGAGGAAGAGGAGGAGGAGGAGGAGGAGGAGGAGGAGGAGGAGGGCGAGGAGGAGGAGGAGGAGGAGGACGAGGAGGGGGAGGGGGAAGGGGAGGGGGGAGGGAGGAAGTAGAAGGGAGGAGGGCGGAGGAGGAGTAGGTTGAGGTCCTCTTGGCTGCCCCGGGAGCCTCTTGAAACGTCGTGGGTGCCTCGGGGGAGCTTCTTGGGGCCTCTCGGGGGTTCTCGGGAGCATCTTGAGGGCATCTTGGCGTCATCTTGGTGGCCTCTTGGGGGCCTCTTGGAGGTTCCTGGCGCCTCTTGGGGCCCTCTTGAGGCACTCTTGGGACCATCTTGGGGCCATCTTGGAGGCGATCGATCAAAGAAGGGCGGGGTCCCAAGTATCGCCCCCCCCAAGGAGGCCCAAATTTGCACAAATCACTGATTCTGGCATTCTCGCCGAGGCCATCCTGGACGCTCTAACGACCCGCCGGACACCCTGTCCGTTCCACGGGGAGGGGGGAGGGGGAGGAGTCAAGAAACCTTCCCCGCCTGCAAACCGTCTCGCTCACTCGCACCAGCCCTCCCAACACACGAGTAGCACCCGACCCGCAGCGTGTTAAACGGTAGTCTTTGGATGGACAGCTTATGAGAACCAAGACAGACCCCGTGTGCGCAACGCTGGGGCGAGGTGCGCGTGCCAGGCGCGACACGCGCGCCAGGTGCGCCAGGCACCCCTGCAGCCCAAGCGTGCTGGGACGCCTGTTGCACCAGATGCGCCATGTGATCCACGTGCGCCACGTGTGCCGCATACTCCAGCCGCGCCTTGTGCCATGTGCACCTGCGCACGCGGCAGTGCACATCAAGAAACGTGTCGACTCCCACCACCCTTGTCGAAAACCACTGCACAATCGCAGCGGTGTGGCCATCATAGCGTCTGGTTGGCCTGCACATAGCAGGCAATATGCCAGCACCCCCGCCGTCCCAGTCAAAAACCAATTCACAGTGATCGCGGGGGGCCCGCGCGTAATCCAGATTCTGCCTCGAAGTGCATTTTGTATTGTTTTTTGAAAGAGATGCTGGCACTGCCCACTGCAGGACCCCCGCCGTCCCTGTCAGAAAACAATAAGTGCTCGCGCCCCCCCCGATCATGACCCAAGATTTGGCTCCCGAGCGGATTCCATATATGTTTCAAACAGGGATAGTGTGGGGGGGGGGTCTCATTGGTCCTGGTTGGCTGCTGGTCGCCTTGGTGTTTGCTGGTAGGGAACTGACACCATGATAAACCCCTCCCCGAAGGGGAAGCCTGCTTGCGGGGGCGGCGTTGGGCGGCGGTTCGGGGTCCGTTTGTGGTTTTGTTATTTTGGCTGAGCTCGGCCTTTCGCGTGGGATGGTGGTATGTGTTGGTGCACGAACAGAAGGCCGCAATCTCGGGCCAATGCGGCGAATGCATAGCTCCAGTCGTTGTCAGGGGTTTGAAGAGGAAACCTGCGAACCACTCACGCCCCAGAGGGCTGGTGGGATTCGCAGCGCGGCTCCCCCTCTGCGACTTCGTGTGCCTGTGCGGCCCTCCGCGCAGCATCTTGCAGGAGCTGCACGGAAGGAGGGCGGCCCCACTCAGAGCAGGGCTTCCTTTTGCGAGATCTCTCTGGTTCTTTCACGGCCCGACTTTGCACCTCTGTCCAACGAGTGAGGCCCGCCCTCCTCCTCCTCCTCGTCCTCCTCCTCCTTCTCCTCGTCCTCCTCGTCCTGGTCCTGGTCCTGGTCCTTCTCCTCCTCCTCCTCCTCCTCCTCCTCTTCCTCATCCTCCTCCTCGTCCTCCTCCTCCTCCTCCTTGTCCTCCTCATCCTCCTCCTCCTCCTCGTGCTCCTCGTCCTCGCCCTGGTCCTGGTCCTCCTCCTCCTCCTCCTCCTCCTCCTCCTCCTCCTCGTCCTCCTCCTCCTCGTCCTCCTCCTCCTCCTCCTCCTCCTCCAAGCGGGGTGCTCGTTTACTGTGCTGGCCCGGTCGTGCTCCCGAGCGCAGCTCCTCTCTCGACGCGGGGCTCTCGCCCGAGCGGCAGGCCCGCTGGCCGCTCGCCCCTCGCGAGGGCACTCCCAGTGGCGGGGAGCAGAAACGACTGCGCGTAGGGACTCGTGAGGGGACCGGCGGCGGAGGAGGAGGAGGAAGGCGAAGGACGAGGACGAGGACGAGGACGAGGACGCGGAGGAGGAGGAGGAGGAGGAGGAGGAGGAGGAGGAGGAGGAAGAGCGGGAGGACGAGGACGAGGACGAGGAGGAGGAGAAGGAGGAGGAGGAGGAGGAAGAGGGGGAGGACGAGAACAAGGACGAGGACGAGGAGGAGGAGAAGGAGGAGGAGAAGGAGGAGGAGAAGGAGGGGGCCCGAGGCGGTCGTCTCGTCGATGCGTCCCGGGTCTGCTCCGGTCCCCCTCGTCCGCCCCCCGTGGTCCTGCTGGTTGCCGCCTGTTGCAGCTGCTCCTGCTGCTCGCTCCTGCTGCTCCAGGCGTGCGACGTCCTGAACACACACACACACAGTGGGAAACAAAAGTACACACTGTGGGAAAACACACACAACTGTAGGAACAAAACAAACTGTGGGAACACAAACACACACTGTGGGAACAAAAACCACACAGAGCGTGTGTGTTTGGGGAGAAAAACACACACACACACACACACACACACACACACACACACACACACACACACACACACACACACACACACACACACACACACACACACACACACACACACACACACACACACCACACACACACACACACACACACACACACACACACACACACACACACACACACACACACACACACACACACACACACACACACACACACACACACACACACACACACACACACACACACACACACACACACTGTGGGAAACATATACACACTGTGTTTTTTTCCACAGAGTGTGTGTGTGTGCTTTTTCCCACTGTGTGTGTTTTCCCACAGTCAACTTCGGCTACATGCACGAGTGACCCTAGGCAAGAGTGACCTTCCTGCGCGGGCGAAGGGGGCGCAAGGTGGCCAAGCCCAAGTGCGCAAGCAGCCACTATCGCGTCGCGCTCAGCGATCGGGGGGACCCCGGTGAGCCCGCACCAAAGGTCACTCTGGCGAAGGGTCACTCTTGGCGTAGAGGCCACGTCCTGCTTTTTTCAGTGCGGGGCCCCTGGAAGTCCCGACCCTTTCCCCGGGACCGGCTTTTCATCCTCGGTCGTTTCTTGACGGTCCCGAGGCCCGGCGAGGGCCCCCAGGGGCCGAAAACGGCCAAAAACCTCCCGTCCTGATTTTTTTTAACGACGCGATTACGTCTGGGTACCCAGACATCTGGTTGCTCCAATTTGTTTGGTGCGTGGGCCCCGGAAGTCTGGACCACTTCCCTAGGGCCGGTTTTTCGTCCTGAGTCGTTCTTTGACGCTCCCGAGGCCTGGAGAGGGCCCACGAGGCCGAAAACGGCCAAAAACTTCCCGTCCTGATTTTTGACGACGCGATCATGTCTGGGGCTGGTCCTCGTCGGCGTCGTCGGGCCGCCTTCTGGGCCTGTCGCCGTGCTGTGGCATGCTGCCCGCCTTGCTGCTGCTGCTGCTGCTGCTGCTGCTGCTGCTGCTGCTGCTGCTGCTCGCCCTCGGCGTCGGGGCCTCGTCCTCGCCCTCCCTCCTCCTGCTTCGAGGGGGATGGCGGCGGAGGAGGAGGAGGAGGAGAAGGAGGAGGAGGAGGAGGAGGAGGAGGAGGAGGAGAAAGGCGAAGGACGAGGGAGGCGAAGGACGAGGACGAGGAGGAGGAGGAGGAGGAGGAGGAGGAGGAAAGGAGAAGGAGGAGGAGAAGGAGGAGGAGGAGGAGGAGGAAGGCGAAGGACGAGGGAGGCGAAGGACGAGGACGAGGAGGAGGAGGAGGAGGAAAGGAGAAGGAGGAAGAGGAGGAGGAGGAGGAGGAGGAGGGGGAGGAGGAGGAGGAGGAGGAGGAGGGGAGAAGGAGGAGGAGGAGAAGGAGAAGGAATGGCTGAGAGGCAGGGCGCGCTCAGCCCTCCCCGCCTCCCCGCGAGGAGCAGCAGGAGATCGAGGAGCTGAAGGCGCAGCTGGCGAGCCGGGAGGAGCAGCTCTCCCATGGCCATCGGGCGGATGGTAATGGGGGGGTGGCCTCGGGGGGGGATGGGAGAAGAAAAGGGTCCCTACGTGGACCCAGACATGATCGCGTCGTACAGAATCAGGACGGGAGGCTTTTGGCTGACTTCGGCCCCGGGGGGGCCCTCGCCGGGCCCTTCCGCTTCTCACCCACATCAGCGGCGAGTTGGAGGGCTTTCGCAAGCGGGTCCACGGGTTCAAGTCCGAACAGAACAAGGAGGCGCTCCAACGCTTGGGCCCGCCGACCCCAGCACTGGCCTTGTCGATGCTGGAGGCTTGGTCACCTGCGATGGAGGAGGACGCGTGAAGCAGCAGATCACCCACTTCCTCGAGGAATGGCAACCAGCAGACGAGGCCAAGGACCCGACCATCAACGTGGAAGCACTCATGGATCAGGTGTCCTTCGTTCGAACAGAGAAGACCCACGACCCGAACGTCGCCAAGCTGGTCATGGGAACGCACGAATGGCCAGCCCGCAAGTTCGTCATCGACGGGCTCCGCGCCGAGGGGAAGGCTCGCCACCACGTGGGCCCCGCCCCAGCGTGCTGGATGGAAAAAGAGATCTCAGTCTGGCTGGAACACTCGAAGAAGATTGGCGCATAGTATTTACAGCTGGAGAAACACTTCCACACTCGAGCCACCCGACACCAGCACCGATGCCAGCACCACCTACGTCAGATGCAGACCACACGGCTTCAGCAGAGGATATTGCGCACAATCCTTTTGAGCATGCTTCGGAGGATGAGTTCGCCGCTGATGATGAGGCCGCCCAGTTTTTTGCATCATCGCAGTAAGATGACGCAAGTCCGTCCCCCGAGCTCGAGCGGCCACAGTGGTTAGTCTCTTCTCGCCTTCTCCCCTCGCCTGCCTCACAGAGACTTCCCCCGCTACACCTCTCCCTCCAGTTAAATTTCGTGGCAGGCCTTTTTTGACGAGCTCGCCTGGCGCCCTTCCTTCGGGCAAACGTCTCAATGCGAGCCGCTCTTTCGTTTATCCCAGGAGCTAACAGCTTGTCTGTAAGGGCTGAGGAGGGGGGATAATATGCTGGCCCCCTCCCGAGAGGACCGCCCCAGAGGAATAACTAGGGTAATCTCCGCTATTTCGCTTTGACTGCCCGCTATGGCGAGCAGCGCCGCTGCAGCGCACAGCCGCAAAAGGCGCGAGGCAGCACCCCCTCGACCGCGGGAGGGCCGCTGCAGCGACGAACACTACAGTATACTCTTTTTAAAGGCGTTCCCGACATGTCGGCCGAGGCTTCTGGGTCGGGGTGGCGGGGACGCCCAGCCTGGTCTAGTCCATCGCAGCCGACCTGGAACGTTCAGAGGCCTTTTTCGCTCCCATGTCGTCGTAAAAAAGCCGGTCCCAGGGAAAGGGTCGGGACTTCCAGGGGCCCCGTGTTGACAAAATCAAGACGTCGCATGTCTGGGGAGAGAACCTTCAAGGCTCCCTGCTCCTTCAGGGCTCCGGCTGGTTCTTTAAAAGGGGCCCCTTTGGGTGCCCTTGTCTACGCTGCTTTTCTTCACCCTCCAGTTATCGACCGCGCGTAATCGCGTCGTTGAAAAATCAGGACGGGAGGTTTTTGGTCGTTTTCGACCCCTGGGGGCCCTCGCCGGGCCTCGGGGCCGTCACAAAACGACCGAGGATGAAAAACAGGTCCCGGGGGAAGGGTCGGGACTTCCAAGGGCCCCGCACTGAAAAAATCAGGGCGTGGCATTTACACCAAGAGTGACTCTTCGCCAGAGTGACCTATGGTG